GAATGGGTGATTTCAAAGATATTTGTTTTCATGATGCTATGGAAATATTAACCAATGGGCTTTCGTTCTTTTCTCACTTCTTTCAAGAGTTGGGTTGCTGAAAGTTTGCTTGAATGAGTAATGCTGAGTTGCAACATGGACTGATATGGAAATCTCTTATCTATTTTACTGATTACTCATCGGATGAGTATGAAGGTTGCATCATCACATACGTTGTGTAAATATTATTTTGCAAAATCAACTCTAATGTCAGATTCTATGTGTTATCTAGGTAGCAGTGTTACCTCTGTAACATTTTCCAGGCTAAAAAAAGGATAGAAGTTAAAGATGATAAAAATGATTCACAATATGCGTCTCAAGTCACGTTTATCATCATGTTTGGGCACCACAGGCAAAGTCTATTGGAGATGAAGTTTCATTTCATAGCAGAGCTGAATTCAGCAGGGTTATATGTATCGGTGCTGAGGTTTAGTTCACTTTTTGTCCATCGTAAATCGGTGGTTTTGGATCACTGGGCAGTTTCACGAATTGTTTCTCCACAGCAAGATTGATTCGTTTCAGTTCGCGTTTTTTGTGTGTGCACATCACCCAGAATCATTTCTTTTCATAGTGGAGGATCTTGAAAGAGGCCAGGACCTTCTAATGAATGTCGTACATGTGAGAACGGATTGTTCAAAGGTGGATATTTATCAGCAATAGAGATGGTTTCTTTTTATCTCAATTGTGCATCGAGTTAATTAATCGCATCTAAGCGTTGTTGAATACAATAGACTTGACTATCATATTGCGGACCCGCACACCACAGTGTTTCCAAATCATTCCGTTCATGCATTTTCGCATCCACCAGATGAAGAACAAGATAACCTGAAGAAGAAAGATCAGATGTGACTGAAAGGTTGGCACAGCCTTACTCAGATCCATGGTGTGCCATCGTAATCCATCATGACATTCACTAGGGAGGAAAGGGTCCGATGCTTTTTTCTTCACTTTATACTAGAGATTGGGCATAAGAAGAGAACGATAATCGGAGAAAGTCTTACTAGTTTATTGATGCATTCACTTGTAGTTTTCAGATGTCGTGCATTGAATGCTGTGGCCAACACTAAATAATGTGAATATTGCTACCTTGAGCAATGTCACACTCACACCCTCAACTCGCTCACCGACCATTCGATAGTAGTTTCGATGGGTCACAAAACTGCAAGCGCGCTTGATATCAGATTTTGCTAGCCAAAAATGCTGTAGGCTGAGTGTACGTCAACAGTAGGAAAGTATTTGTGAACGTTCATTACAGAGAGAAAAATATTTGAAAACTGACGGTCAAGAAGTGCTCATTAGTAGTTCGAAGAAAGTGACAGAGCATCTTTGTTTGTGAACGTTTTTTTGTTTGTTTGAAGAAATAATGCATGCACTACGGGTTTTGTTTTTATAGAGTTTTGGCAAACGGAAACAGAAGCAAGGGTGTGGGTGTGGGGTGTGGATGAGGGTGTGTGGGTGTTGTTCTTGTTTTCACCCAAACTCACGCTCAGACCCACACCCCACACCCACATCGGCACCCAAGGCTACGTATGTGTTATACACAGTTCAGCTTGTTTGTTTTCGTAGGGAAACGTTCTTAACCCTGAAAATGCAATTCTTCAAGCTCTATACAAGACTTAATCATGCGAAAAAGATAATCAAATACTCATTGATTATAATCGGCTATTAAGAAAAATAATATGGCATTAACGTTTTTCAATGACTGTGTTTCATTTCTGTTTTTTTTTATATATTGACGTTCAATCTTGCGATTTCCGACACTGAGCTACCGAATCTTGAGGAAAACCTTTATAAAACAGCTACACGACGCCATAGCTAACGAAAACAAATCTTTGAGTGATCTCTCAGAGAATATTGATTCTTTTTGACACTTTATTTTTGTTAAACAATCAGATGAAGAGTTATTCGGAAATGTGGATTCATCACAAAGCCCAACACCTGCCTACACAAAGAGTTGCATATACTTCATTACACATATTACTACTGGCCTCCATTAATCCTTCCGGCATGCATCGAGCCTCACAATTTTTCCAGCCCAATCCGGTTACTAGACAGCCTGGAAAGAGTTCCCAAAAGGTGAACCAACGCGTTGGGAATTGAATCTTTCCAACTAAAATATTGTGGCCAACGACATCAGTAGGTTTGAGATAGTCCAAAGGGATGACAGTTTGAGAGCAATCATGATGTGTAGCAGCAGAAGTAGTTGCCAAAAGAAATAGAAGACAGGCGTAGGGCCTCATCGAAGTCAGCATCTAAAAGTGTAGAAAAACATTAACAAAATATCTACTACTCGATCCCTTATTGAATAATTTTGTTTAAGTCAAGACAGTTATCTCAAGTGAAACGCAATCATATCAATAGATCGGAGTATTCATTACAGCAGCGCACTCAATAACTTAAATACGGATCGGACATTAACACCAATACCAAGAATGGAGTATTTGAGGAAACTGTTGGCAGCATTGACCATGCTCAATCGCTTAATGTCTAGCGGAAATAAATCGATCAATTTTCAGGCGTTACGTCGACTCTAGTTTAGTAATATTTCACCCGTCTAACAGAGCAGAAACAATATATCTTTGTCAATAGAATTTCCAGACGATTAAAAGAATACGTGTACATATCGTGCTATGGCTTTCACTTCTTCTCAACGATTATAGTTCGTCTTACTTTCGCGATATGAAGGAAGGGCTCGAAAATCATCCTACAAGCTCAATGTGATGATCTGACTTGTACATTCAATGAACAACTTATTCGCAAATGACTTTTGTATCAAACTAACAAGAACCTATTTACCTGACTCTTTAATTGCAAGGCTTCTTCGTGATTTATGTAGCTTAAAGTCTATCAAATATTATTAAAACTTAAAATCTCTTTTCTACAGTTGATAACTTAAACGTAATTCATTTTTAAATAGCTTAGCATGAAAAAAATCTACAGTATAACAGTCTCGATTTTTCCAGAGTAGCTATTGTTTTAGTTTCACAAACATTCTAGCATCTTAGAGTACGAATGAATCTATTAGCTAAATATAACATTCGATTTTTGGCCGCCACAACTGTGTTGGTCACCTGACGATATTCACATCGATATCATGATTAAATTAAGCTATAGTTTGGGATGGGTGTAGGTGTGGGGTGTGCTTGTGAGTGTCTGAGTGTGGATGTGGGTTGGGTATGGATGAAAAGGAGCCACACACTCACCCCCATCCTCACCCCCACAACCACTCACACTCCACCCACACCCTCGGATACAGCAATCGTATTGCTCCGTAAACGAGCGTTTACGAGCGTGCGTATTCGACCTGGGATGTTTCGTTAGGTTCTTACTTAGATATGTCAGTATCATTCCCATGTTTTTATATGTTGCTTTAATACATGCACAACGGTACCACTGGTTTCTCGCAGCGTGTAAATAGTGTGTACACATAACACCTTTTTTTTAATTTCCAGGAAATTCAATTAGAGTTATAGTGACCTATTCCAGCTTCTGTTGAGGGAGGTATACGAATTAATAGAGATAATAGAAATATAGTAAGTAACGTAGGAAATGTCGTACAATACCTTCAATGAATTTAACAGAAATTCATAATAAACATCAGACTATTTCAATACACTCTAACGGCATCTCACCTGTTGTGAATGTCAAGCAAGACGAAAGCACACTACAGCTTTGAGCGATTTAGAAATATCGTTTTGATGTGGTTGAAATACTCAGAATGGCTCATTTTTGTTGGTCTTTAAGAGTTGCGAAATATGTTACAGACGCGCGATTTTTTACGGCTAAAACGTATGGTATCAACATTGCATGATTTGAACTAAATAATAAAACTATAATAATTCAAAAATCTTTGATTTTTATGTCTTGTCTTCATCGAGAATGTTTTAATTTTTCTTATCAAAGTATACTTCATTTTTTCTAAATTACATTGAATAGTGTATAATTAGAAATTGGAAGATTTAGAGTTTGGTAATCAGTTTATGAGTAAATGACTGTGTTTCGCGCTATACATAGATAGATGACATTCTTACCTTTTGAGAACCAAATATATATAAACTAATGTAGGGTGTGGGTGTGGATGTGGGTGTAAGTTTTGTGTTCATTTACACCCACACCTACAAGCTTTGAAACAATTTGAAACAAAAAATATTCGTTATCTGCGGGTCTTGTTATTCATATAGAAACACAGAGATGGACTTGTCAACAGAACAAGCTAAAACGATTACTTATCTCTTTATTACTTAACTGCACTCATAATTCTTTTATCTTTCATCTTGCTCAAAATTGCTGGTCGAGATGCGTCTTCTCAGCTTTATTCTTCTTGTAGTTAGATGTTGGAGTTATATACACTTATCTATAGATCAAAAAGGAGGATATAATATTAATGTTAACGGTCATGTATGGCTTCGTTCTTCTCGTACAGCTATATATGTTGATAACAAATTGTATTCATCACATGATAGTTCTCTAATATTAACAAATATAGCTTATTCACAAGGTACTGATACAAACTTAGGTAGTTGGAACGAAACTCAATTGATTTATGATCTCGTTCGAAGTGGAATATACACTAAAATAGTTGGTCATATACGCCAATGAAATTCAATTTCAGCAATAACATTTCATTTGGATACCGGTAATCAAATTATGACGAATACAGTTCCTCTCGACATCGAACATGTTCGTACAGTCTTTCCATCATTTCATATTGAACGAATTGATAATAATGATCAACGAGGCTATTTTACATTTAAAGGTAAAATTGATTATTGAAGTTTTTCTAAAGAATAATTTTCTTTTATTCAGGAGAAATGTCAGGTGATAATCAGAAACATGCTGATAGATAGGATGCATTAAGCAAAGTTATTCGATCGGATATGGAAGGTGGTCCGATTACTCTCTTTAATCTTACTCAATGAGGAGAAGAAGATTTGTTAGTTCTTTCACTTTTTTCTCAATTTATGGCAACTTCATTAAGTCAAACAATAAATGTGTTAGAATATGGTGTCATGGGCTCAATATTATCAATCCCAGCAAATTATAATGATTCAATGATTGTTTTCTATTCATCAAAAGGTATTAATAAAGGTATAAGAGAATGGGGTCAAATGATGCAACGAGCATATAATCGAACGAATCAACATCGTCTCAATGATCTTACTATTAATTATCTTGGCTATTATACTGATAATGGTGCTTATTATTATGATAATACAGAAAAAGGAATAAATTATGAAGAAACAATAATCAATGTTTATCATCAAATTCCACTTCCATTTCATTATATTCAACTTGATTCATGGTGGTATTATAAAGGAATTCGAGATGGTGTTACTGAATGGACAGGTCGTCCAGATATATTTCCTGATGGTCTTCAAGTGGTCCATCGGCGGTTAGAAAATATTTCTTTAGCAGCACATAATCGCTATTGGGCATATGATACTGTTTATAAACAAAATTATTCTTTTGTTCTTGATGAAAGAAATGGGAAAGCATTACCCATTGGAAATGATTCATTTTGAATTGATTTATTTACTCAAGCACATGATTGGGGTCTTGTTCTATATGAACAAGATTGGCTTGATCGTCAAACTATTGATTTTTTGCCAACACGTACTGATATTCATATTGGTCAGCAATGGTTAATGTCTATGGGTGAAGCGGGTGAAAAAGTAGGCATAAATATACAATACTGTATGAACTTACCACGTCATATTTTACAAGCTTTACAAATACCGCGTGTTACACATGCACGAACATCAATTGATTATGCTGTTCATCTTGTGTTTCCCATTAAAGCTCAATGGGCTATTGGAATATCCAGCATGCTTGCTGATGCGATTGGCTTAGCACCATTCAAAGATGTTTTCTGGTCTAGTTCATTTGAGCCAGGTGCGCGCCTTATCAAGAATTAGCTCGAGAAATACTTCCAGATCGTGAAATGGTTATTGCAACTCTATCAACAGGACCGCTAAGTCCAGGTGATGGAATTAATTATACAAATGTTGAACGTATCATGCGATGTTGCCGTCAAGATGGTTTAATTTTGAAACCGGATCAATCATTGACAATGATAAATACATTAATATCTGACTGGGCTTTTCATGGCGGTCTGTCACAAGGAGAACTTTATTCAACACAAACAATGATGTGTGTTTCTCTGTTTTTCTTATATTTTACTTTTAGTTTTGTTTAGAAGTAACCAAACATTTTTTATTATCTTTGCATCATCAATGAAACGAGTTTATTCAGTTTCTCCGTCAATGATTGGAGCTCAATCAGGACTCATTTGGTTCTACGACAATGCGACCTTAATATCAACTTTTAATGAAAGTTACCCTCTCGATGTGTCGGCTACTAAATGTAACCATTTATCAATATGTCTTTGGTATGTATCACCTCTACTTTCGTTAAATGATTCACTTGGGACACAATATGCCCTTCTTGGGGGAATGGAATAAATGGACAGCTGTTAGTCAACAACGATTTATATCTATAGTTACTGATACTGAAAAGAATCAAGCAATCATTACTGTTCAAGGTGCATCTTCTGAAATAGTTCCAGTCATTGTTTTTCATTCAGCATTACTTTCTGTTACTGTCAATTGTCGAATTTCGTCTGTAAATGGTCAAGCGTACGTTGTCGTTACTTCATCAAACGTCCATTGCCTTTAAATAGAATAATTATCTGAAGAACTGAAATAATTTTTTTTTAATCAATAAAAAGTAGTTTAACACCTGTAATAAGTTGATCTGAAACCATTGATGCCAATGACATTGTTAGAAAGAAGGCTACGAGTAAAAACTTTACTTGTTACAATGATAGTGAATGCTCATGTAAATAATTTCTCAATTGACCTGTGTAGAAAGTCCGTAGAGAAGCGAAGAATATACAATGCTGATTCTTAAGATACTGTCGTCAGTTATCTAATAACTATTATATAATTAGATAGCTAAACCAATAACTTGTCTTACTCGACATGATTAATGGGTATCTGCTTATAATTTAGAAGGAAAGGCAACCTTTCTAGTACATTGATGCCGATACTTTCTATGAAATGTTTTCTTACAATGGAATATTATTCTCTGAAATCTTCAGCATCAAATTTCGTACTGGAAATAAATAATATAGTGATGAACATCAGGTTACTATCAAGGATCCAGGTGATCTCGTTCTCAAGCAAATATGTGCATATCTCATAGCAAAGAAAGATTAGACTTGACGCTTCATTTTCATGTCACGAAATTGATCGTAACTACAGTAATTCATAAATCGTCATAGATACTCTAGATTGTTCTTTTTATCAAACATATAGAAATGATCTCAAATGAAGATATGTCACTAGTAAAACTTTTTGAAGATAAATCTCAAGCTCCACAGAACGAAAAACTAACTTTTCAGTATCACACAATGATATATTCAAATTGAATTGGCAGACACAGTTAATAAAAATTTCCCCCAATATATCTAAATGTATTATAGCAGTAGGACATTTAATAACCTTGGGGTAGGTGTGAGTATAGAGAAGAACTACACCCTCATCCACACGCACAAGTACACCTGCATCCTCCCATATTTCACTCACACTCACCCACATCGTTGAATAGAGATATCAGTTGATATAAAAATGATGGTGATCTGCTTTAGTTGAGTTAGTATCCACAAGCTTATCTTTATTAGGTCTATATTTTTTATATGGTTTCAGCAGAATTCAAAACAGAAGAAATTCTGCTGACGATTGATCTTTTCTTTTGATAAGAAAAAAAAGATCCGCTCGAATCTTTTTTAAAAAGCATATCAATAGATAGTCCATGTCGAGATGAATCGAATCATATAGTGATGATTCACGAATTACAATGAAAATGCCAGAATACGAGAAGAAAAGATGATGAAATTGTTTGAAGGCGTACTTTCGAGTACTGACAGTATGAAACAAGAAAAAAGAAGATCATAGCCTCTCTGACATGTAGATAACAATGAGATAGACTCGTTTGAGAATTATCATTTGTTTCATAGACCAACTATTCTTACAAGTCGAAAGAAAAAACTTTGTGTGTCAATGAAACAGAAAAAAAGATATATGTGTGTCATGGTTAGGCATACATAAAAAAAAAAGTCATACGATAATGGTTGATAAATAGGAAAAAGAAGATTTGCTATAGCATCCACTTGTGTTCTGTGTAAGAGCACATTTGATTACAACTTGTTTTTTTTGTTTAGATGGAAGAGCAAAAATCAACATCCAAACTACGACTATTGCTACTGTTGGTTATCACCTGTTTAACATTGAGCATAACAGTACTCGTTGGTTCCGCTGGTCATCTGATATATTGGGTTTTATTCGAATCATTCGGTCGTAATGATCGAAAAATAAAACGAAAACTTGTTTTGACCAAAGATGCTCAAGATGACGAATATTATGCAGTTATCATCGGTGCTGGCTTTTCTGGTATAGGCATTGGAATAAAATTGCACGAGGCTGGCATGAATAAATATGTGATATTGGAACGTCTATCGCACATCGGTGGTACTTGGTATGCCAATCAATATCCGGGTTGTGCATGCGATATTCCATCGAATCTTTACTCATTTTCATTCGAACCCAATCCACAGTGGTCATATTTTTACGGTCAACAACAAGAAATAGCTGAATACCTTGAATATTGTGCAGACAAGTATGATCTTCGTCGACACATTGAATTCAATACAAAAGTTATTCGTTGTGATTGGCTCCAGGAACGACGAATATGGAGAGTAACAGCTCGGCTGAAGAATGATCAAGAGAAACAATTCTTCTGTCGAGTATTAATTTCCGGCAATGGACCCTTATCGAATGGTGCCTATCCAACGAATATTTCAGGAATTGATAAATTTCAAGGTCGAATGTGTCACACAGCTGAATGGGATAAATCAATTAATTTCATCAATAAACGAGTAGCTGTCGTGGGAACTGGTTCTAGTGGAGTTCAAGTTATGCCCGAATTACACAAGATGAATGTGTCAAAATTGTACGTTTTTCAACGCACACCAGCCTGGGTCATTCCACGTATCGATCGATCTGTACACGCATGGGAAAAACGTCTCTTTACTATGTTTCCAATTATTCAAAAATTCATTCGAGGAACTATCTATTGGATGTATGAATCGACTGCTCTTTCGTTTACTTACCGACTCCCGATTCGACATATCTGTCAAGAATTAATCAGTTATAATCTTATGAGACAAGTTAAAGATAAAGAATTACGAAAGAAATTGACACCATCATTCGATTTTGGTTGTAAACGAGTTTTAGTTAGCAATGATTGGTATCCAACATTGCAAAAACCGAACGTATCACTTGTTACTAGTCGAATACGAGACGTGACATCGAGCTCAATTGTTACTCAAGATGGTAATGAATATCCTGTCGATATTATCGTTTGGTCAACTGGATTTCAAGTGCATAAAATTCCATTTGAAATTTTTGGCTCGAACGGTGTTGCACTTTCTGAACTATGGGCAGAAACTATTCAAGTTAGTAAGATATTCATATGATCAATTTGTAGATGTACGAATATTTCTTTTTATATAGGCCTACCGTGGTACGACCATGCCTAACTTTCCTAATCTATTCTTAATCCTAGGCCCGAATGTAAGTTTTGGTTATAATACAACTGTATTCATGATCGAAGCGCAATTGAATTATATTATGGAAGCGCTTCTGTTCATGCAAGAAAGTGGTGCAAGTGCCATATCGGTCAAGCAAAATGTTTTTGAACAATACAATCAGCAATTGCGATCAAAACTGAAAAATACAGTGTGGCAGTCGGGTGGCTGTCGTTCATATTGCCAAGATACTCATGGAAATAATATAGGAAATTGGCCCGATTTTACATGGACCTACTATTTACTTATGCGAAATTTTGATCATAAAAATTATCATATTACCAAAATGTAATATGACACATGATTTTAACTTAATGTCATCTTTGTATCTTACGGAGATTTTGTTTGAACAGAATATAGTGATATCCTTGTATCTTATACGATATTATGTAATCAAACTCGATGATTTATCTTCTAGTAAAGTTGTAATAAGCTGTTATCTCGTTCAATAACTGATGTACAATTTTTCCATTGTAGCCACATATTTTCTGTAGCAACGAAATGCAGAAAAAAAAGGATAAATCGTTATCACTTGCTTTCCAGATTGTTCACTATACGATTTGTCATATAGATCCAGCTGACGAGGGTATTGAATTATTTTACTGCAACTTTTCTGATAAAACTGATTCAAAATTTACTTTTTATTAAAAACAAAGTATTTTAAATGTGCAATGCTAGACAAGTACCATTGAGCACTCATTCTCCCATTCGGCATAGAGTATATTGAATTCGTAGCATGTACGAGTAACATATGTTCAAATCAAAGATGTGCGACTGAAAACAGCAGGATTCGGCAATTGTCATTAAGATTTATTTCTTGAAAACACACGTTTTTAATTTGATCATTGAAATCAAAAGAAAAGTTTATAACATGAATATAATTTCAAGTCGAGCTTCGACAAAATTTCATTGATTTTCTTACTGTGAAAAATAATTCAAAAACAATGTTCCAATTGAATATATGTTACAAGAATATTGTCTTGAAAGGATAAAAATTGACAAATCGATTTCGATTTCAGTTAAGCTGTCATTTTTATCGTCTATAATTTATTTTTTAGCCACTATTTATTTGGAAAAAATGGGTGTGGGTGTGAGATGGGATACGGCTGTGGCTGTGGGTGTAAATGAGGAGAACACAAGCACCCACACCCCTGTTTATTTTGTTCTCTTCTGAATAAAGCAAAAATATTATTTTGTTATTACAAATAGAAAGGGACACAAGTTCATTAGAGACTGAATAGAATTATTTATTTCTATTAAAGTCTGTATTTTGATGAACGATATGAACCAACAAAACATAAATAGCTCATCTATTGATTTTGGTTTATCACATACATTTTCTTGTCAACGAATGCTAAGGGTATGAGTATTGTGGGGGTGGAAATGATATCTAGATCTGTTAGTTACTCACATCTATACCCGCCACCACAACCCATACTCAGTTTTGGCTTCGAATCTTCACGTATTTCACTCATGAAACAAGAAAGAAGCTCAAATTTTCTGAAAGGCTTAAAGTTACCTCTGAAATATATTCTTAGATATCTAAACAAAAGTGTGTGAGTGTGGATGGGATGTGAATATTCTGTTTACTCGCACCCACACCACACCACATTCACAACAGCCACACAGTTTATTTGAGATTTGACAAATGACTCTGTAGTCCAAAATTCTATGTGAATCAATCGATTAAGCATGAGCATGTTGTTGGAGAGGTCGTTTTCGAATAATGTCGTGACTGAAAACTCTTTACGAGAAGGGAACGAGTCATTAGAAAAAGTTTCGCAGAGGAAGCAGAAACCTGCCTCACAGTTGAAA